GTTCGGTCTGTACCTGATCTGGATCAAGACTGTCATCAGTATTCATCTTCTGCGCTTCAGAGAATACATCTTTAAGTAATTTTGTTTCTTTGCTTTGGTTACTTCTTTTGTTCGACGTGCCATTGTGGAAAGCCAGGTGAGAACAGCAGGCCATAGATCCCACAAGTCAATTGGAGGCATATTGTAATTGACGTATAAATAATAATAATTCTCTGTTTCTAATGACATTATTGAGCGGTCTATGCTTTTCAATGCATTGCTGGAGCTGTTAAGTCCCTCCACATTTGCTGAATGTGGCTTTGCTGCCAAAATTCTGGCATAAACTCTGGCCAAAGTATCAAAGTGCCCACCTGCAGCTAAAAGCTGGTTGATTATTTTTAAGATGGTTAGGTTAGAGAATTTCCCTGACTCTGTGAAATCGTTGTACTCCATGCCCAAAGCCATAAGATCTAAATCTGGACAGATAAGTTTGTGGATTGCCTCTAGGTTTGCATCCTTTTGCAATTTGAGAAAAGGAACCAAAGTTTCCAAACGCTCTTTGTCAGTGCTAAACCTTTGAGTTAAAAATTATTTTAGTGCTTCTGTGAGCTCAACCTTGATTGCCGATAAATCGCGTCTGTCTGTAACAAAAAAGATGATGACGTCATTTTCGTCTTGGTTCATCACTAGTTAGCTTAATTCCTTTCAGCATATAGAAGGATCTCTAATCACTTTTGACTAGCTGTGACTGTGCTTGAAGACTAGACACCCAACCCGCTAAAAGAGGTGTCTTCTGTAGGTTGCCAATATTTGTCTTCACAAGTGTCACCTCTTGTTGAATGTCGAGTAGTGTAATATTATCAGATTGTATTTTTCTTCTGAAATCTTGAAAATACTGCCAGCACATCAGCTATAAATGCAAGCAATTATAGGTATTTTTGTTTGTCAGGAGAGTTTCAAATCCTTTGGCTTGTTTGTCTTGAGACTGCTGCATATACAGTACTAATGCATGCCATGATTCTAGAACAGAATTCACCAGGGAAAATGTGTACTCGCTCCAACGAACTTCAAATACTTTTGGAAGGGACAGACATGCTAGATCATTTGTCCTGGCTAATATTTTCAACTATCGAGTTGTCAGACCAGTAGTGTGAAAAAAGGTTGATAATTCACTTAGTTTTTGCAGCAAGTGGCTTACTTCAGAAACTAGATCCGTAACTGACTTCCAAGCTAACTGAGTGCGATGAACAGCACACCAGATTTTTGAGTTTTGAGATTTCAGAGTCAATGGAATCATATAATGCCCATAGACCATTTCATTCTCCAGTATTAACACTGGCTTCATTAGTTAGTATTGATGACATATATATTCTGTAGTGGGTTCACCAAGTAATGGCAAAGATAGTTATCAAAACTGGTGAAGATGAAACGGTGTTCTTAGGTGCAGCAGAACCTGAAATAATGGGAGCACAAGGATTTTTTAATGCAGTTAAAACGGTCTGCAAAAACATAGAAATATCTTATCTATCCGAGTTTGGTAAATTGACCCATTACATCTAAGGGATATTGCTATGGACTGTTCAATCTTTTTTGAAAGCGAGGCCCTGTCTGCTTCCACAATACACTTTAGCATCTCCAGGTGGCTAACAGGTGAGACATACTGCAAGTTTTGATCAAGTTTTGCCTCCTTAGATTTATCATTAAAGTTAAAAGACTGTGACTTCCTGCACACTATCACACTAGTTATAAAGTAT